TTCACTGGGGCCTCACTGATGCCACCCCAGGCTACCCCAGCCAGCAGCTTCCCTGGGGAGGTGGCTTTTAGCACCCCTGTTTCCCATGCCAGCATCACACACCTTCTCAGTTTGGGCTGCAAAACTCATCCTGGGAAGGGATCAGGGACCATGGTCCTAAGGGAAGGCAGAATCACTTCCATCATCAAAGGCTCAGTCTGAGGATGCCGTGGGTCGTTGTCTCCACAGGGAAGCGCGCCTGCCTGGGTGAGGTGCTCGCCCGCTCCGAGCTCTTCCTCTTCTTTACGTCTCTGCTCCAGAAATTCACCTTCCAGGCACCCCCGGACACCACGCTCAGCCTCCAACCCGTGATGGGCATCACGATGGCCCCACAGCCATACAAGATCTGCGCTGTGCCTCGGTAGGGAAGCCTTGGCTACCATCCTCACAGGGAAAACCCTTTGTCAGGAACACTGAAAACAAGCCATCAACAGCTTGTCTGTGCTAATCAAATAAAAAGCAGAAAAGCTGCAAAAAAATAATCCTTCTGTTCCTGGGGAGCACTTTATTTAAAGCCCAAGGGAAGCAGAAGCAGCACAGAGTGTTGGAAGGGTCGTGCCTATGGCGCTCACCACTGGTTGTCAGGAAGGAAGTGGCTTTGTGGTGAGAAGTCACCAGGTCAACACTTCCCTTCTCTTTGTGCCCAAGATTTGGGGCTGTGCAAGATGGGCATGGACACAGCGTGGGGCCGAGGAAGTGGATTGGGATGTGGCCCCCTCAGTGACGGACACACTGCTCCTGCCCATCCCAGCTCCCTTTGGATAAGAGTTCAATAAACATACAACTTACTGTAAAGAGCTTTTCCATTTCCATGGCCAAGTATTTATGCTTAGAGATGCTGTCTCCTGGCTGCTTCTGTCTGCAGTGGAGTCCCAGCAAAGATTGTTCTTTTTTCTCTTTCTTTGGCTTCTCACCTTTCATAAAAGACTTTTCATTGGGCACTCACATAGGATACAGAAGAGTTAAGAGGAAAAGAGGATTACATTGAGTTCCATTTCCACTGGTTTCCTCCTACATCCCTGGCAGTAACCACTTTGCTGCAGTACAAAGCAATCACTGTGCAGTGGCAGATTTATGCCACAGGGGAGAGTCCTCTACTCATCACATCCCTGCCACACTGGGCACACAGGGATTCTGTCC